TCTGATTATCTCCTTGTAATCCGCTTCTTTTTAAAGGTTGTAGGGATTTGGTTAGTTCATAGACCACGATATAGTCAGTGTAAGATCAGCCTATGCACTGCGCTAGAGCTCTTTTCAGGTAAGATCTTCTCACCTCAGTTATTTCAAATGACTTTATAACTTACTTAGGGGCGAATTCCAAGGAGAATAAATGAAACTCTTCATATGCTCGGTACAAACGTCATTCTCCATAGCTGGAATGCTTTTGAGCTAGCTTTTTGCTAGAGATAAAGGCTTGCCCATTCCTGGCTCAATCATTACTTTGTTCGGCTTTTTCAGTTGACCACCTCCATCCGGCGTCCAAATACGATCCTCTAGTCCTCTCCCAGATGCTGCCCTTGCCCTTTGGAATGTCCTCTAGATCCTCTTCCATTATCCCACTCGTCGCGTTTGTCAGAAACTTTTTGATAACTTCTTCCCTTTTCAAAAATTCTTCTTTATTTAACGTAGTTCATAGTCTTTTTATTTGTTAGCCTTATTTTTTGGGGGGATTTCCGCACTTCAGTCTGAGCCACTATTCCTCCTTCGACCTGCTTTCGACTGGTAGACCTTCCGTCGAGTTTCTGGCACTCTCTTCTTTCTTCCAGAAGAGATACTACTTTTGAAAAGTGTAGGTGCTGTTTTTAAAAACTTTTGCAGTAATAAAAGCATTTTCCAGCGAGGCTCTAATCTTTTTATATTGCCATCGACTCTTCTTCTAACTTTCACCTTCGGCTTTGTCCATTTATTTCTAGTCAATCTTTCTTTTCTCTAATAGGAAAAAGAATAGGAAAAATCTCTGAAAAATTCAAACTCAACTTTAAAAAAGCCTAAAACTTCATTATATGATGAGTTACCGCTGCAAATGTCAATTTTTGCAAGGTGCTGAAGTGTACTTCGAAATCGATCTTTGTTCTTGTACTTATCCAGTACGTCAGTAGCGATTGTTCGGAATCGTTCGCAAACCACTTAGCCGGATAAGACTCAGTCACAAGGAGATAGAGGGCTTAGAAGGGCTGTAACCTTGCTGACGTACATTACTCATTATAGGCTCAACGGAGATTTTGGGTTTCGGAGATCTGTTGCTTACCATGTCGTTACTTCACCTACCAATCTTGGTACGAATAGGTCCAGACACCCTTTTTACCCAAAGTTGTACTGGATCGACGCAAACTCCTTAAAACCTCATTGTTCAGCCCCAAATAACAGTCAAAGATCACTTGAGAAGCAAATGCCACCAGAATCTACCCATCCAAAAGTCTCGCTAGGTTCCACCTCCTATCATCCAAAAGGAACTGTTCCGCCTACATAGGACGTTTATAGAGCTAGAGAAGCAGTTTTCAATGCCATTCATTGTCTTTGATTCTATAGTTTCCAAGCTGAACAAAAGTCATTCCGTCCAAGGGGCTACTGTAACAATGAGAACTGTCGCTCCTTTCACCCTTCAAGGTGTAACACTTCGCGATGAAAATCAGTTTAACAATGGAACTTTGCTTCTTTCGGTTTCGGTCATTCTTTATAGGCACTTCTTAGGTTCCCATGTGATCATTTTATATCTTTTGTCACTTTTTAGGAGCTCTCGGGTTTCGAAGACTTCCTGTGGAACAAGTTTTTCGGCTATCATTTGGAACTATTGACCCTGCTGATGGCGCGGAAGGGCAGGGCTAGTAGTCGCTGCTTTACACTATTATCTAATTTTTCTTTTGAGTTCTAGCTCTCTCTACAGAAGGTTCATAGCCTTCTTTATAACCTCTTCTCATTTTTCATTCCTAATTTTCAATCAAGTTTCATTCCCTACAAGTTCCCAATGGGGATAGACTTCCCCTGGAACTGCATGAGTTTTTCCTCGGAGCATACGGAACAACTGACCCGATCAGAGAGATTTGCAGAGATAGATATGTATAAGAAAAGCTGATGTGGTTTGAGATTAACAAGCTCGTTCACTGTTATACTGACCACGACCCCTTTGTCTTTGAAGTAACTCATGGTCCGTAGCCCTAGCTACTAGAAACAGGTCTAGCCCCAATTTGGGTCTTAATTTTGGACCGTGGAGCCTTCCGTCTGTAGAAATCGGAAAATGTGAGTTGTATGAGGGCCTTTACGAATGCATACCTGCAAATTAATTCTTTCCAAGCGTATTCAGGCCTTATATGACTGGGCGATTCGAGAATAGTTAGAATTGATCTGATACCAGCAGAAAAAAGGCCTTATCCGCTCGGCTGAGCTAATTCTGACGTTTGTTCAGTGAGGAAAAGCGTGATTCATGACGAGGCTGTGCAGCATAATCCCGAATAATCTGAAGAATATTATTTTTATCGTCTGTGTGTTACGTCCATGATGGATTTGTCCTACTTAGAGTTAAGACGGCCTCACTGATATATTAGCCAACACCGAACTGATTTCTTTCATTCCCACTCTGCAGTCAAGTGGTAGGTCTACGTCATAGACCAGCCACAGCTTTTACCCACCCTTGAATCTGCCGCAGTGCGAATTTCATCTACATATGTGCTCGGTCAGGTCAACCTCCGTCTCTGTCACCTCTACTTTGTACTACCCACTGATCCTATAAATTTTGTAACATTTGATCGTTGTATGATGTAGGAGATCCAGTACAGTGTTTGTACCGTGGTCTTGTAGGCATATTGGCTACTCAAACATGGACGAGTAGAAAGGCTAAAGGATCGGAAATTGCTAGTAATATACAGGAAGCTTCCCTGCACTCTCCTATCGTCAGCCGACCGTATCTCTTCCAAATATGATCAGTACGTAGCTACTTTCTTCCTTTTTTCAATACCATTTGTATGCGATCTTGTTGGACGCAACGTGTTTGCCATCGCAAAACCTCATGATAACAACTGTTCCACCCTCTACCAGTATGCCCTTATCATCGTTCTCATTGCATAACTAATCTACACTTGAACCATGAGCAGGCAACTGTTTTTTTTNNNNTTTTTTTTGATTTTGGGCAATTAGCTTGGCCAAAGGGTCAGAACGAAAATTGTTTGTTAAAGTAAATCAATGGTCGCCAATAATTTTAGTAAAAAAAGATGATCAAAAGATTTGTCCTAGGAATAGAGGAATGGTCGTGGAAAAATGCACTTTTTCCTACAACAGCTAACTCGCTAGTTCGTTTCTTGATGTGACATCGAATGTCAAGCTAAAGCTCCAACTCTTAGTGGCTTCTGAACGCCAATAGTCTGCTAATTGCCTTTTGTAGTTTCGAACTTTTTGAAGTTGTAGATCGGTACTTCTTGAAGATTAGGTAAACGGTTATAGTAGGAAATTAAAAATGAACCACTGCAAACTCTGCAATTAAACTGCTACTTACTTTTCCGTGGTTATAATTGTGGTCTGAAGATCACTTCAGCATTCATGCTCGTGTTCGAATTGGGAACTTTGAACAGAGCTTATGACCCTTGTACTGTAATAGGAAAGTGGCTAGAAGTATAATAGGGCCTGAAAAAGGGCCTATTAACGAACTTCTTATTACCCCACCGAAACTCATTAGACATGCCACTCACGGATGTACCTGAAGGACCAAGCGTAAAGTTCAAATGGGCGAATTTGGAGAGTTCAGAATTTTAAAGCGCAAGTCATCATGTACATACTAATTAGAGGAAGGGCTTTCCAAAAACACAAGGGAAGAGAATTATCATTCATTCACCAATTCCTTAGCTCTAGTCATGACCATAAGGCAGATACATGGCTCATCAGATTGACGTTTGCAAATTAATTAGCTTCCCTTCCATTGGAAACGACGTCAATCGCAAATCACCTCAAGAATCTTCCTTTTGTTGAATGAACAATTCATGTTCGTCTCCAAGTCTTTTGAGTCTGACGTTCAGCATTTTTGTTGACAGCCAAATGATGATCCCAGTTATCTCTAAGCCCTTATTGAGCCAGCTGAAGCACTGCTCATGTATATCTGATGACGGAAGCATCCGAAATAGTTTCTAGCGCTTTCTGCAACTTATCTTCTGGTTTATCTGTGAAGTTGCGGATTCTGTTTACTTAGTGAAATTGAGCTCCGTTTCCAAAAATTTTCAAGCACCGCCTTCACTTTATGCCAGATTTTCGTGGTACAGTGACGTTGTTTCAGCTTCAGTTCCACGAAAATGAAAATTCATAATGCTAGGCCAGTTGAGTCTTCCCGACCGGATCTATGATTTCCCCTGACATCGAGCTGAATTGAAACATCTAGTCGAGGGTTTCCAGTTGACTCGTCACAGGTGGAGGGAGTGAACGTGACGATACAATAGAAGTGCAAATTCTACGCTTCACTGACGACAATGCTGAACAGGAATCAGTTACTTGAAATGCGCTAAGGGGATTTCAGAGTCCTCTTTTTTTCATGTGGATATAACTGGAACGTCTAAACTGCCCCATGGGACGGTGCTAATCATTACATATCTGAAGAGGCTTCTCGATTTCAAGGGTGTATCTCCTCTTAGCGACCATTTGCCTCATTTACTAGTGCCAACGAAAATATTCCTCCTGCTTTACAGAGAATCTATCAAATGAACTGTGCATCCATGTGAATATCCGTGAGCATGGCGCATTCTTTAGAAGGCTATGCATATCCAATTTCTTTCTATTGTCTTTTTTGTTTGTTTACTCCTTCTCTTCAGTAACAATCCTTTGTGATCCAATTAATCGTTCCACTTTTACGTCACTTCCTCATGCCGTCCTGTCCTAGTCAAATTTGTTGATGTTACTTGTCAGTAACACAGATCTGCCCACAATTCAACCACCCTGTCAATTTCAATTCGATGTTTAGAATGAATCCGCCCTAATTGTTTTCCCGGGTTGAGTTTCAGATCATTTGGTGGAATTTCTCTTTTGATAATCTGTCTGGCCTTCCTATGCGAGTACTTTGCACTTTGTAATTTCATGCGGCCACTATTCACCCGATCGGATTGAACTTTAACTTTCCTGTCAGCTCACCTACTCATTTCAGATCAAGGCTGGCCTCGAATGCTAACATGCAGGCATTGTGGCCTTACCATACCTATCGACCGGTCACCTGGGATCGTTACTACGTGAACGAGCATCATGAAAGTATGTTTGCCTAATCTTTTCAGACTTAAAAAAAATCCGTTAGTTTTCCCAAGGGTAGCGAAGCTAGACAAAGTCACCGCTCTCTTTCGGAAAAGCCGAATTCCAGCTTTGTATGGTGAATGTCGCGTGAAGGCACCGCCCAGGGGCAAGAAATAGAGCCCCACGTTCCACGCGAAGCTTTCTCCGTTTCTTAAACTCTCTTATTCCGGATACATGCTATCGGGTGAGTCATGGAGAAGACGGAAATGTAGCCTCCCGGGCGTTTGTTGGTAGACCACCCCGTGCGACTGGGCCCCACCTGTTAGTCGGTGTCTTGGGAGGACTCGGACCTCTGGTAGCCCTTATGCCCAACAACTCAATATAACTGGTTGATTTACCTTCTATATCTACATTTTTTATTCATAATCATATTACTTTTCGCTTTTCAGAACATCCATCGGTCAGCAGTGGAGTGGCGGCTGGCGTCACAATAGGCATCTTCTTCATAGTCTTTCTTTTCACGTTCGGTTGTCGTATCTACAGCCAATACGCCGATCGATCGCAACCACAAACCCCCCAAACACAAGGTGAACTTTGGAAATATTCAATTATTTTATTGATTGATCTTGGAGATCACCTATTTCCAATGAGAGAATCAGAAATATCGACCACAACCAAAGGTATTGGCCGATGCGAATGAATTGCTTTTGTCAATCCCCTCTTTTTCGGCTTCAAACATTTTCTTTCCTATTCAGAATGAAATCCTTAAATAGTCCGTTTTCAGAGTCAGGACTGAGTGAATCCTTAGCAGAGGATATGTGGATATGTGGTGTTCCCCATGGACCACCGCCACCTTACGAAGTTGCCATTCGTATGCCATGTTCTCCACCGGATGCAAGTCCAGTTTGAGGTGATTTCTTGAATTCCATGTCATTCTCGTGAACTATTATTCGGCATTCCCAAAAGGCAAATGGGGAAGAGGGAGACGCCATTTTGAGCTTTTCCGGTTGTCTCAGATGGTTTTTGTTGCGGGCGATTAATTTCGTTCTTTTATTCTGCGCCCATTGATCACCATCAGATCTGTCTGTCACTCTGGCTGATTTCCAGATTCCTTATCTCCCAAGTTGAAAGTGTGAATTTATTTGCTTGTGGAGACCCATCGCCTTCCACACTTTTTCCAGCCTTTCGGAAGGATTCTTCTCCAGCCTTTAGATTTTCAGTAGAACGAGTGGAAAGTTCTCTAATTCCCCTCTTCCTCAAACCAGCCTCTCACAACTCCAGTAGTATCTTTAGCATTTTGGCACTACAATGAGCTCATTTCTTGTTTTTTCAGAAGAAGTTCTCGAGCTGACCGATTCGTCCCCTCTAGGAGTGGCTTCGTACCGCTCCATGAGGCCACCAGAGACTGCTCAATGTTGACGACGTGTATTCATCAAAACGGTTCCAATTCTACCCATCACATACCCCCATATCCTACGTTTAATAACGGCATGACGTCGACGGATATTGAAATCGGTCTTAAACCGAGGAATGGCTTTGCCAGTGGACTAACTACATGATTTCATAGATTCTTCTTGCTGTAGTGTTGAACCTATCAAGTAAGTAGAAGGAGTTGTAACTCTAGAAACTCTCAAAAAACCCATCCTCAGACCAATCCTCAGTAGCCAACGTACTCATCCGCTCATGCCACATCTCCGAGGTATGGAAGCTGAATATCCCTACTACAGAGTAAATACGTTCACCCTCGTTTTTCTTGTTTTCTGAAAGCTTTGAATGTTTTTGTTTTTTGAAATCACTGCTCAGGGTTTATATCTCACTAGCACCTTTCACGGATACCGTAGAAAACGAGTGCCTTAGCATAATTTCTATTCATGACTGCCGCTCAGTCTGTAATTACGGCCTTTGTATGCTCATTTCATTTTTATCATAAATTACGCCTAATCTGCTTTCTGGTTGATTCTTCAATATGACATTCACTGGACATTCATTTTGTGATCTCATGTGATTTTTATGAGTTGTTTATTTTGGAAAGAATAAGATTTTGTTATTGTTTTTCTGTAGACAGCGAAATTGCGTTGTAAACAGGCGGTCCTTCTCACATAAGCTTTCCTATCTTCTCCTTATACCAGCGACTGAACCTTATACCAGCGACTGAAAATATAAGAAGGCTGATTAGCTATCGGCTGTTTGCCTAACAAAAGCGGTTTCTAAGTCAGTTCTATCCTGATTAATTGTCTTTTATTTATTTATTTATTTATTTACTTATTCATTTATTTATCACATGAAAAACTATCACCACGAATATGGCAGTAGGCCCAGCACTTCTCTCAGCAGGAACGTCGTCCATTTGGGCTACTCTTGATGAACTTCAAAAGTGGGGTCTGTTCCCGGCAATTTGTGATGCTACCGTAACATTTTCTTTCGATGGTAGTATTCGGATGAAGCGCAGGTAAGCAACTCTGATACTCCTAAAAACAGCTGCTACTGACAATTCAAGTCCCTTCCGAATACCGTAATTAGTCAAAATACAGAACAATATAAAATGTGTAATAAATTAATAATAACAGAACGATTCCTGAAAGAGGTTCGGAAAGACTAGCCATTTTCAATTAGCCTTTCTGGGCTGTATCAAAACTTACGTACTTTGAAAAGATTAAATAAAGTATAGGATTCAGGCCACAGTAGAGAATCCAGCAGATGTTGATCGAAANCCACATCGTTTCCGGAAGCACCAGGCCATGATAGTGCCAAAGCGATATTATACTGGCCAAAAGAAGAAACAGTATAGTAGCTTGTACCAGTAACTGCATCTCATTCCGACGCATCGTTTTTATTCCATTCCGTTTCTTAAAGGTCAACCAAAAATTATGGTTTTGTTTATAGCACAAGCGAAAAAAGTCAAAAATAGCAAAGACGCAGGGAGAGGAGTACGCTCAGGAGAAAATTGTTATAATTTTGGAATTCTTTTTTATGCTATAAAAAGAGGTTGGACTCAATTTGCCGTCAAAAATTCGCAACTATGTTAAGAAAGGGAAAGATTGACGAGCACTTGGCAGAAACGTTCTTAAGATCGGCCCAATTGAGGAATCAGGAATGATCGCTCCCCACAGACATGTCTCACAGAGTCCTGGGCATTGTCTAGGAAAGAGTTGTGCCTTAGAACGGGAAATTGCTCTAACCAGCAGACGCGAAAGTTCTCGTGTAAACCCATACGGGCCCATACCCATATGTTTACTACAAACAGCGGTTACTCTCCTGCAACTCTCCTCTGCTACTGCTCTTCCACCATTTCATAGCTGATGAAATTACCTTATATAGTGTAATAACAATCATTATATAAACGAGAAATGTTAGAACAACACAGCCGACGGATATCACAACTTCGACTTTTGACAGGAATTCGCTCCCAGGATCGGTACCATACGACCAAGAAAATCTGAAAATCTCACTGCCCTTAAATTAGTGCGTTCTGCAATAGCAACAGTTCTTACAAAAATCGAATCACATTTTTTTTTTGTAAAAAAGATAGTATTCAAAAACACACTCGTCTGGGAAGTAGACGATCTTCCCAACGCATAACAAGGATACCAAAAAAGCGAAGCAGTAAGCGAAGCAGAGCGATAGAACGGCCTGAAAATGCATAATTTTTGAAGCACCTGTAAAGGCAATTCTGAGTTTGTTGAATTATGGTTAAATACGTTCAACTCCCTTTTGGGTCCTTTGGTGTTACTCTCAACCCAAGGGGTAGATCAGTTGAGGAACTTTCTACAAAGGACAATCAGCTGATTTTGAAGGCACAGTTCACGTTAGAAAAGATTTCTGAGACCTCCTATGGAGCTGTGCCCACCGAATACAGCTTGAGAAGTGTCGGGTCGACTGAGATAGGGCGTAATAAGTGTCTTAGAACTGGCTTATCCGACGTACACACCCAAGGTGGCCGAATTCTTAGGTTTCGAAAAGCTGTAGAGGTTGGACCGTTCGCACCGAGACCCACACCTTGCACACCGGCAGCCTACTGCAGCAACGGTATGCAATGGTGCACACATTTGAACAGCTCGTATGAACGCCCCTCCCGATACCCTGCAACTTCTGTCGTCACATTAAACAATAAACATAACATAACAACATAACATTCTCCTCGTCCATCCCCTAATTTTAATACATTTTTGAAGTATTACCATAGAATAATTCTTAACGAATAAAATGTTCCTATTGTAAAAGCGATTCAAAAAAACCGAAATCCGATTCTTACCTTCATTGTACGTGAAAACTTTTCACTGACGTTCACTCTTCTATTGACTATAAAAAACCTCTGAACAGCTATCAGCAGCGAGAGAGGAAACAGGCCATTCCATGCTGAATTCATCACAGCACCAACTATCTGAAATGTTTAAAAAGTACCTTTATGCATGGTTTATTCCGAATTGCGACCTGTAAGAAAATTCCGGTGAGAACTTCTAACTTTCCTTCAGAAACTCTCAGGGCATTACGGCCTCTCAGCCACTATTTTATTACAGTAACCGAGTATTGTACTTCGCCAAAATCCGACTGAAACCTCACTTGGCATGGATATGGTGCGTCAGTGTTGATATTTCTCCATATTGTCGCTACACCTCCAAAAACATGTCCCACCAACTGAATGCAGTCAAGGATACCGAGAAAAAGCATTAGTCGGTGTGCTTGCAAGGAGTTGAATTCGCGATTCGTTGTCAACAGCTAGAAAGGGAAAAGAAAGAAATTGTAGGGTGCAATCTAACCCCGAGCATTCTTCAAAAACTTTTCCAGACACAGTGTACTCGTTTCATTTTCAAAATCGTGGAGGCGTCTTGCTGAACATGTATCCGGGCTCTACAACAGCCTGGTTGTGTGAACACTCGCAGTATCCATCCTACAGTAGTGGAATATAGAGTAATCAAGATTAGTAAGGGTTGTTCAGGGCATACGGACCACATAAACTCAATTCCTTTGATAAAGCGACCGCGCCTATTTTAATGCCCTCGTGACTTGACTTGTGCCTGCCTGACTGATAGGACCACTACCCTAGTTTTCTGTACAGCTTCGAACGCTTCTCATGGTCGTAGAGGTTGTGAATTCGGATCATCAAGGAGGAATTGATTACTGAAGAAAAATTTGGATGTGACAGATTTTGTCATCCCAAAATCGGACATCCGTCAAGTAATAATTAATATGTGTACGTCAGGTGTTCATTAAACAGACTGTTAGTTGGCATTAGAAACAATTGTTAATTTGAATGAGCAGATGCTAACTGGGAGCTGTCTAATCTTGTGTCTGACTGTCTGCGAAGGCTATTTTTATTTACAAAAATTGAAGTTACAGATGACGTCACGCCTTCGAAAACTCCAAAGACACTTCGGCTGGTTTTCTAAAGAAAACGCTAGTGAGGAGCTACCCTCATGAGTAGTCTGGGAAAGCACAGCACAATGAGCGGAAATGTCTGAATTCAACAGTTTTAGCATTTCTTATTTGATATAACTACAAACTACAGGAGTTCCCGTGAATACTGTTCACAAACGTGTTGAAAGTATCCAGCCTTTATGAAGTAGATCGGACTGAACTAGGGATAGAGATGGAAAAAGCTTCATCCGTCCTTTGGCGGAACATTATTTGTTATTTCTTATCATCATAGCCTTCGATCTACCACGATTTCTTCTGAGTTTTCAGGAGGTTAGAAGGTGTGAATGAATTCAATGTGTAAAAATAGATAGTATCCACATACCGCGATGAATGATACGGAAATCAAGAGTAGGGCTAATGATGAAATTATATAAGCAACGCCAACGATAAGTGATTCATGAAAATCCACTGTTGCGTCAGAATTCATTTATTGGCCCAGATATCGGTTACCAGGCTCCAACTCTCCGTGCGGTCCTTCAGATTTTAGGGGTCTCTAAAAGGTGTAGTACATACAATCGTTCTGACAAAGAACAGCGCAGCTAAAAGGTTCTTGAAACACTGTCAGAATTACGAAGACATCACAGATCTGTTTACTCAAAGAAATTCAAAGCTCTTTTAATATTAATAGAAACTCGCTTTCACAATCTTAATCTTTTTGAATTGGGTCTTGACGAGCTCGAGCTGGAAGTGCTCGACAACGTCAAAATCTTGAAGAACTTCAGAGAAATAGACAAGGATTCAGAGATCAAGGTAAAAATTTACAGTAATCAACATGAAACTAAGGATCACCCTGGAACGTTTTTTGCCTTGAAAAAATAGAAAAATAAATTAAACCTGGTGGTGTCTTGGATACTATTGCCCTCCAAAAGCCGGGACAGGCCCTACGAGGGGTCTAAAATTTTTCGGAAAAGCTGAAGGACCACTGCACAACCAAACGACTACAAATAGTAAAGAAACATATAAAATTCGGTAAACTCAGATTCCTCAGAGGAATTAGATGAAAGAATAGATGAATCTCACACTCAGTATTATTTTTAACTCAAACAAATGAAAAGCTCGGCAGCTGCACAATGTTTAGGAAGCACAAGCACTGGGTTAGTTCAAAGCAGCTCTTTGTTCTCTTCAAATTACGTTAAAGTAGCTTTTTCAAAACTGCTAGGGCCACGAGTGTGAAAAAGAATGGTGAAATGTTTAGTAGAAACACTCCTGATTACCACTACGAGGAACAAATTGCAGCTGCATTCCTCAGGCAGAATAAAGCAGCCTCTTATAACTACTTCTTGTTGCTATGTACAAAACAATGATGAAATAAGAAAATTGTATTATAAAAGACTTACTAAATAAATACTGAACAGTGAATAAGAGCTACTCTGCTTCTCTTCAAAACTCCCATTCTTGATTATGGCGAATCAAAAGGCGTGCTACAAAAGCTGTCCCGACACCGGCATCTGATGAGAGAGTACTCGTGGATGGTGGCTTCTCGTCCAGAAAGGGAGAACGAAAAAAGGTTGTCGCTGAGCGGCCAGATGGCCCAAAATGAACATCATTGGGGGATGAATTATTGAACTCGGTGGAAGTATGCAGATCCAGTCACTGGAGCGCCAGCAAAACTGAAGATGACTGAGATGTACCCAAATTACCCTTTCACATGACATTTAAGATCCTAATTAAGAAATATTTATTAAACGGGAATCGGTGAATACAACTTCTGAGAGAACAGACTGATGGGCGAGTTACTTGTTATTCTTCAGAATCATACAGTTCCCGTAGAGTAACAGTAACCTCAAGCTTCGTACCATACAGTTTATCGAATCGTGCTACAGTATGCATCCTTAGAAACTGAAGGGAGCCAATCGATAAAAAGCTTCTCAATGCTTTTTCCAAACAAGTATCATCTGCCATGGGCGGGGAATTGTTCCAACAACTAAAGAGATAAGAATATAGCGAGATAACAACTAACAAGCTTACAGCTTAACGGTTCTGTGCTGATATTGGCCGACCGGCTCAATACTTTGTACGTGTGATTGCTGATAAGCTATGGCATATGATCCATTAATAAGGCCAAGTCACGAAGGAGCACGGTCCACGGAAAGAACATGTACGCGTTCGAACGAAATCTATTACCCTAAACGTGACAGTAGTTTTAGCACTCTTTTTGGCAAAAACGACCTCGTTTGAACTACTTCTGATAATCTTCAGTATCGACATCTGGTCCCAACAATCTGTGATGCTATCATAAGATTTTGTTTCGGTGGTAGTATCCGGATAAATCGCAAATAGGCAACTCTGATACTTCTGAAAACAGCTGCTATTGACAGTACAAGTCCATTCTGAATACCGTAATGCACCAAATATGGAACGATATTAAATATGCAATGAAAAAAGTGAAAGGTTGAAATTAAATCCTAGAAAAGTTCCGAACAAATCAGCTATTCCTGCTTAAAGTTTTGTTTTTTTTTTTGAGCTATTCAGAGCTTGTAGCAAAACTTACGTACTTTGAAAAGATTAAATAAAGTATAGGATTAAGGCCACAGTAAAGAATCCAGCAGATGTTGATCGAAAAATTGGTCCACATCGTTTCCGGAAGCACCAGGCCATGATAATGCCAAAGCGATATTATACTGGCCAACAGAAGAAACAGTATAGTAGCTTGTACCAGTAACTGCATCTCATTCCGTCGCATCGTTTTTATTCCATTCTTTCTCTTGAAGGATAACGAGAGATTATTACTATATTTATGTACACATACATATGCATATATGTAAACAAAGTAAACAGGTAAGAAATCAGAAGGGGATAGCAAGTTAGTTGACTTCAATCTGCAAGACCTTTAGTAAGGATCCAGTTAGGTCGTTGATTTTCAAAGGGATTTCTTGCACGTTAAATAGCACAATGCCTTCGATAAAACGGGGGTCCAGGTACTCGATGGGGAACAGCTGTTTCGTGAACATCAGACGACCTCATGAGGGTGGTGTGCGTAAAATATGCTCAGAAGAAAATTGACTTAATTCCAAAACTTTCGTTTATACTTTATACGAAAAAGTTGTGCTTTGGAGTTGGGAATCGTTTCAGCTCACTGAGGGTAATAGGTATTCTGTAAAACTAGACAGGAATCGGTGTTTACTGCAAACAGCGGTTTCTCTCTTGCAAGTCCCCTCTCATACTGCTCTTTCACCATTTCATGACTGATAAAATTACCTTATAGAGTGTAATAACAATCACTATATAAACAAGAAACGTTAATAGGACGCAGCTGGCGGATACCACAACTTCGACTTTTGCCAGAAGTTTGCTCTCCGAGTCGGTTCCATAGGACCACGAAAATCTGAGAAAGCCTACTGTTTTCTGATTTGTGTGTTCTTCTAGCTGTTTTTTTATAAAGCCATTGGCTTATATGTTTCAAAAAAGCACTGTTAATAAACGAACCTGCCTGGTAAGTAGATGACCTTTCCAACGCATAACAAGGATACCAAAAAAGCGAAACAGTAAGCGAAGCAGAGCGATATAACGACCTGAAAATGCATGTCGTTCTTTATATATATTTAGTAGATTTTTGTTGAGTCATGGTTAGTTGAACTCAATTTGACCTATTTTGGGCTCTCTGCCATAATCATCCTACGATGATAGGGATGATTAACTGAGTAGCAAATAAAAGCTCTCTATTCTAAAGGCAACTCGCCGAAAAAAGAGTCAAAATCCCATTCTTACCTTCATTGTTAGAGAAAACTTCTCGCTAACGTTCACCCTTCTCCTGACTATAAAAAATCGCTGGACACCTATCAGCAGCGAGAGAGGAAACAGACCGTTCCATGCTGAATTCAGCAAAGCACCAGCTATCTGAAATGCTCATTAAATGCTGTCTACATGAATGATTCATTCCTGAGAAGGATAACTTCAAGAATCTGAAAGAGGTTCGGCTGCTCCATTGAGTTTCTAGAACATTGAAGCTTCTCGGCCACACTCCATACCTCTTCAGAATCCAACTCAGAACCTCACCTGGCATAGATATGGTGCGTCAGTGTTGATGCTTCTCCATATTGTTGCTACACCGCCAAAAACGTGACCAACCAACTGAATGCAGTCGAGAATGCCGAGAAAAAGCATCAGTCGGTGTGCTTGCAAGGAATTGAATTCGCGATTCTTCGTCAACAGCTAAAATTAAATTAGAAAAAAGGGGGGAAATGCTACCTCGGTCAAACTTCTGCCCCTAGCTTTTTCTGGATACACTATGCACTCGACTCATTCCGAAATCGACGAGGCTCTCGGATAACCTTTCGGGCTGCACATCAAACTGGTCATGCAAGCCTTCGAAACACCCTCCTTACTGAAGCAAAATAGGGTGGTTAGGATTCTTAAAGATCGGTTCATGGATAACGTTTGAGAATAGGTTGGAGAAATAGTAAGAAGAGACATGTTGCTGCCGTCAGACATATGATGAAGGAAACTTACTAACTAATATCGCTGAGTGTTCGTGAACTACTAGGTGCTGTCAAAACCAAAAATTGAACTACCCATCTCAACTGCCAAGGACACGATGCATGAAGGGGCATAGGATATCGTGATAGTGGTCTCGGTTAGGTGCGGTTGTGAGTATGAAACAGATGTCAGTCTTTTGACATATTTCGAAATTTTCCCTTACTTTTCGTAGACTTTTCTCCTGTAGGTAGTTCCCTTAAAACTTTACAGCATCAAGGAAATGATTGCTGAAGATTCAGTTTTGGTATGTCATAGTCTGTAATACTCAAATACGATTTACGTCAAGTTACTTGGCGTTGAGTAGGTATTCATCAGACAGTCTGGGTAGTTAGCATTGAAAATATTCATTGTTTTTATTGAACAGAAGCTAATTGTTTGTTGTCTGCGTGAATTTTCTTTTTCTGGTTGTTGTTTTCTCTTTCTGGTTGTTTTTTTTTCGTCAAAAAAAACGTGACAGATGATGTCACACCTCTGAAAACTTCAGAATATTGGAGAAAACCCTGGCGAAGAGTTTGTCTAAAAGTGTTTTTGGAAAGCACAGCGCATGATCGGCAAGTGGTCATCTTTAATTACAACAATCTCGTATCTACTCCTACACAGTACAAGAATTCTTGCCTGGTACATACGTTTACAACAGAGTTGTACCGCCCTTTCTGGTAGAGACCCACCTGAGCCAGTAATACCGATGGCTAAAACGTCATCCACTCCTTCCCAAATCATTTATTTGCTTTTTCTTGCTATTATCATGTTCTTTGAACTTTATTGAATTGTTGTTCTTTTCTGATNAAAAAGTCAGGTGTGAGGGAGCTCAGAGTGTGGGAAAATTTAGAATCCGCATCATGCCTACCGCATTGAATGAAACGTAGATTAAGAGCAGGACTGAAGATGAGACGATGTAAGCAACGCCAACGATAAATGCTTCATGAGTATGCACCGTCACGTCAGCAGACGACATTTATTGGCCCAGATATCACTTCCCAGCTAACAGTTCTCCGCTGAATGTTTCGAAATATAAATGCCCCTGAAAAATGTAGTACATAGATTCGTTTTGAGAACAAACAACACAGCCAGATGGTTCCTGAAACATTCACAGAAATGCAAAGACATCATGGATCTGTTCACTCAAAGAAACTCGAAATTGCTCTCAGCAACTTGATCTCTTTGAATTGGGTCTGAATGGAAGCTGGAAATGTTCGACGATGTTAGGGTCCTCAGCAATTTATATGGGAAAATAAAGATTACAATTAAAAAGGTTCTCAGCCAACAACATTGAACCATAAAATGCGCTAAATGTTTTTTTCTGTTTGAAGAAAAAATTAACCCGATAGTGTCTTGATTACTAGTTGCCTCTGATAACGAGAAGAGCGTTCCAATAGGATGAAAACTTTTTCGGGAAATACTCAAGTAGAGCGCTATCTTCTGAATGTTGGCATGCGAAACGAATGAGAAGGCGACTGAAGATATTGCATATGCAACTCGTTAAGATTCCAAGAAATTCGAATTCTTCAAAGGAACTAGAGGGAAGTAGGGGTGAATCCAACATTCAATCTTGTTTTTCCACCCATAGAAATGGAAAGCTCAGCAGCCACACTAGTGATGTATAGAAAGCATAAGTTCGGAATCAGTTCAGACCAGATTTTCTTATTCTTCAAATTGCGTGAAATAGCTTTTCCCGAACTGCTAGGGCCATAGATATAGAAGAGAAAACGGAATGGGTCGTATGACCATTCCTAATTATCGCAATGGGGAATAAACTGCCGCTGCATTCCACAGTCATAGTAAAATAGTCTCTAATGACTATTTACTGTTGCTTTGTACAAAACAAATGTGAAATGCGAATCTATGACTCATAAAAGACTCCCAAACAATGTATCAGACATATCAAGGAGAGCTGCTCTGCTTTACTTCAACACCTATTCTTAACCCTAGGGTATCAGAAGGCTTGCTTCCAAAGGAGTCTTGAAACCGACATCTGATGAAAGAATAGTCGTGAACGGTAGCTTCGGTCCAGAATAGCAGAAAAGGTAGTTGCTAAATGGCCAGGTGGTCCAAAATGGAAATGGAATTCTGCAAAAAGGGGAACAAGAGTTATCAGGCTCGGTACCAGTAGAGCACTCCCTCCCCCTCCACTGAAGGATCAACAAAGCTTCGAGAATGACCAGCAGATGCCACTGATTCCCCTTTCAAACCACGTTGAAGACCTTATTGGAAAATAAATAAATATTTATTGAGCGGAAATCGAATAAATCAAATTCTGAGAGGAAAGACTTAGAGACAAACTATAGTTATCGTCTAGCCATTAGCCAGAGACAAACAGTAACCTTCAGCTTCATGCTATACAGTATAGCCAGTCGTGTTATGTCAACAACATGCATTTCTAAGAAACGAAAGCAAACAATTGGATAAGATGCTTTTTGACGCTTTTTACAAACGAATATTATTCATCAGAGTCGGGAGGTTGTTCCAACAACTAACGAGACCCTTGTGACATGATTCTTCAATCGCATTCCGATAAACTGCATGTAAGCAACTCTGATGCTCCTGAAGTAATAGGCTTCATTTTTAATGAAATTTTTAGAATATAAGTATCCAAGTAATCGAAAATACCAATGATTTGTTCGTCAAGATACTTTCATATCGTACTTACTTTGAAAAAATGATGTATATTATTGGATTCAGGCCACAGTAAACGATCCAGTAGACGTTTATGCAGACTACCGTCCAAACTGTATCTGGCAGTATGAGATAGTAGAAATGCCAGAGACTTATCAGACTCGTCAGGATGACAAACAATATGGTGGCTTGCAGTAATAGTTGCTTCTCACTTCTGCGCATCGTATTCATTCCTCTGGTCTTCTGAAACTCAGATTGAGTTATCGAAGCGCTAGCCATTATGGATACAATGGGTGCGAAATGGAAGCCCTGTGTTATCAAGGAGGTAGAGGTGAACCTTACTGCTGCTGCCGGAGACCTGGACACTTTTAGGACAACCTGCTGTCTTGGATACTTTCAGTACAACCTATTATCCCTGTTACGCCTCCACAAGTAGTCGATCGTTCCCAAATTAGAAGGGTTAGAGCGCTCATTTTAATGGTTGCCAGGTGCTCAATCAGTGTTTGAACAACTTACTAACTCGAGTTGCTTGGGAGAACGGCTCCTACCACCCACATAGCTACTGTTGAATCAAAAAATTGTTATGATTACCCTATAAAGAGATATAGCAATGGCTATATAGACAAGAAATGTCAGTGCTATACAAAGGACTGAAACCACGAATTCCAGATCGGATAATACACTGCTTCCTGTATTTGCTCCATATGACCATGCGAATCTGGAAAGAAATGTCCATTGTATAGGAAATTTTTCTGAAAACAAGTATGGTTTGCTTCAGTTTTCACCTAATGAAGGGTTAACGGGGACCCTGTGTTTAAGCCTATTGAAGGACACTCCTTGTAGCATTCTAGCCTATCAGGTTGCATTACGAATCCATAGTACTGCAGGAGTGGTGACCACTGAGTTCATGTTCATTACTATCTTCCGTAAATGAACGAATGAGGAAAGCTATTATGAAAGCAAGACATTTTCTCGTAATTTTTCTTTTTTTAAACTGCTCAAATTAGGTGTCATTACGGCCAGTGAGATGAGGCAGAGTACTACCAAAGTTAAACCAAATCGTTCAAATAACTTACTGGTCAGGGGAGTAAGTAACCTTTCCAACGGATAACAAGCATACCCAAAACGCGAAACAGTAGGCGAAAGAAAGTACTATGATAATCTGAAAGTATTTTGCTCAACTAAATTCAGATACCACCTCAATTCCTAGGTAAGTGAGAGAAAACAAGTATTTCTTCTTGGTAGCTCATTCTCAAACTAGGAGGAGAGGGTTGTAGGTTAGTTCAGTCAATTCCAGCAAGATCTACATCGAAATTCACACTTTGAGCAGGTGGGTTTGGGATTGAGATCCTCCCATTTCATCTTTCCCAAGGGTAACTTTTTAAATCAATCTATTGATTTTGTAAAAAAGCGTGAAATCTCGTCCTGCAGAAAGGGAGAGAGATTCGCTTACGAAAGCCCAAACTTCTTATGCCCTGAGTAAAGCAATCTTCAAGATCCTACCTTCATCGTGGGTGAAAAGTTTTCATACGGCTTAAGAGTGTTTCTGACAATAAGGAATCTCTGGATAGCTATCAGTAGCGAAATAGGAAATAAGCCAACCCAGGCTGAATTCAATGTGGCGCCGAATATCTGAAAATTTGAGGAAATTGACTCGATTCCTCGAACAAAACTTTTACGTCGAAGTTTCTATGGAGTCGCTATGTTCCACGCACGAAATTTCACTCTACGAAGAATAATAAACTAACTTAAGTTAATATGTATGATAACTGGCATAGATGAGCTGCTCATTACTTCATGAAATCTTTGCTACACCGTATCCCTTTATCTCTTAGTCGGCTTATATGAAAAGGGTGGGATTCTGATGAATGACACTGAGCAAACTGGGAGTGTGTTCTTCTTCGAACTAGAACACCCCACCTGACATAGGTATGGCATACTGTAGTTGATAGATTCCCATAATGTAGCAATACCTCNGATGAGCTGCTCATTACTTCATGAAATCTTTGCTACACCGTATCCCTTTATCTCTTAGTCAATTTATATGAAAAGGGTGGGATTCTGATGAATAAAACTAAGCAAACTGGGAGTGTGTTCTTCTTCGAACTAGAAAACCCCACCTGACATAGGTATGGCATACTGTAGTTGATAGATTCCCATAATGTAGCAATACCTCCAAAAACATGGCCAATCAGTTGAATGCAGTCAAGAATGCCAACAAACAGCATCAATCGATGGGCTTGCAAATTTCTGAATTCGCGATCCGTAAACAGTACCTGAAGTGAAACAGTGAAGCTGAACACCGCCAGGCCTCCTTCTATTAAGCTGGGATTAGTTGGAGGCGTTCAACCTTTCTCATTGTTAGTTTATTTTCCCAATCGATGCACTTCATTTCGCATTGAACTTTCATAATACTACATATATTTTTTACATTTGATATTCAGAACACTTTATTCTGTGATACAGGATAACTCGTGTGAACTGCCCTGAAACAAGGCTGATGCTAATTCACTCCAGAGCATAACCTGATGTTCTTATAAAAACTGAAATTGCACTCCTTTCACATCAGACCGTTCTGCAGACAGGAAAACGCCATCTGGAACAGAATCCATTGTCAATTCAGTAGGCGCAAGGAAACATGGTGATTAACTAACCCCCTAAAAGTCGGAATCTAATCGTGTGATGTCCGGTGATGCAAAAAATTGCAGGAGCACATTGTGTAATCTCAATTCTTGCTAGAATTCTACGTGAAACTGCACTGGTTGGAACGCATTCTCAGAAAGCTATCGTAATCTGCAAATTTTCTAGTGGCTCAATTGAAAAGGCGGCTGTTACCGATTCATCTACATAAAATCTCCAGCAGACACGACTACATAGCTTTCATTCGAGCCCACAAGCCCTTTCCTTCTCCAAACCGTCGATGAGCAGTACCCCATGTCACTACTCAGTATTCGTACATCCAGAACGCCAAGGTAATCCCTTTTAGAAGTGGTATCACAGCAAAACTAAGACACTGACTTTTGATATGCACCCACACGATGCAAGCATGGAACAATCTGCTTAGAAAACCTGTTCAAGTATTTTGCCTTCGACATGATAAGTGCTGGCCTGTTTCCTACAGTGTTGAAATCAACGTAACATATAAGGCGTCCGATCTTTTCACTTTCGCTATGTAAAGCAGTTAAAGCTCATCCCCAAACTCGTGGTGAATGCTCTATCCACCTATTTCTTCTGTGTAGTGCTTTTAATCAGAAACTTGGCTGAGGTCTTTTTCACATGGGATGGTAAATAATAGTTTTGAATCAATTTTGCCAACTGGAATTTCCAAGGCTTCCTAGCGTTAGACAGAGGGTAAGCAGACAATTGTAATTTGATCTCGTCATGAAATTAAATTAGGCCTCTTCTTTTATAATCATACACTACTTCTCCCTTCATAATGGCAATCTTCGGTCTAAAATCCTGTAAATAAAATAGTAATCCTTGGTCTAACATTCATTATTATAGTCTACGGCATAATCTACGGTCGTAGAGACCGGCAACTACGGCGTTAGGACTCGTCATACACGATTTATCAAAAAATGAATGGAATTTATTAAATCATGAATGAACTCACCGCATTGAACACCATGTAAAATGAGAGCAGAGCTAGAGATATGACAATATAGGAAATACCGACGATGAGTGGCTCATAAGTGTAAACGGGAGAAGCCGTCGTTGTCGGAATGTCTACACTTGTATTTAACGTACTGTTCAAGCCGTTTGAATTCATTGAATGGTTTGATATTATCATCCACTCCGTCTGGTTGTTCATATAGTAAGTAAAGCCTGGAAATTTAAAGTCGGAAATAGGAAATGCCACAGAAAGCCATCTGCTTGAAGTCCGCCTTGTTTCCTAGACGGAGTGATTCAGAGAATCATTTCTTTTGTAAATCACGGGAAATTCTATCAGAATCGTAACTTCAATTGCCTACTTAGCCTGCTAATAAGATAAAATTCACTGGAGATTTAGTTCAGCTGAGAGATTAGGGCTTAAGAAATGGACTAGGAAAAAATGACTATACTACAGCTGATATCACTGAGATAGGGCTTTTAGATATCAGCTGGGGAACATAGCCACTTCTCCTATTACGTTGTAGAAATTCCTAATTGCTAACAAATCAGAAGTCTTTAATTGGAAAGACAAAGTAATTAGAGAGTAGATTGGTAAACTCATAAGCATACGGGCCCTGAGAGTTAAATGGCCGTAGCAACAGACTAGCTCGATTGATCACATTTTTCTTGCTTCTGCTAGAAGCTCAAGAAAGGTTGTGTGAATGTCCAAGCGTGTTCCAGGAATTTCAGTCTAATAAATTATTGTAAAGTGTAAAGGAAACATCCGATATCTCGATTCAAATGGAACAAAACATTTATTCATAGGTGTAGCCAGTGTCGCTTAACGTCATCTATTCATGCTCCGTCGGCCAGATTGTGGCATAATTGTTCTAATATGATACTTCCCCTTGAGAATGCTCTGGAATTAATGAAACTACAGCAAAGAACAGTAAAATCGAAATCTATGTAAACCAAAATTATACTATATATAAATAGTGTATTCATATTCAACCGAATTAGAGTGAATTCAAACTATAACTGGTCCAAAGACACAGGGTGAAACAAGAAATTGGCAAAGATGCTGCCTGTAACAACTTCAGGCTCAATAAACGCTTGAATTTTTTCTTATGATGTCCAAGGAGTGTTGAAAGAGGCAAAGACTTCAATCGTTTCCAGTATGTAGTCTATAGTCGAAGTCGACCGTACCGGGAAGGAAATCACCCACGCAGAGCGAGCTTTGGTTTGGAACACGGAAGAACGAATACAACTCGCTAGCTCGCAATTACGCTGTCACGTAGCAATGAATCATAGAAAATACAAATATTCATCGGCCTTCGTACTTCTGGTCTCTACGATCTATCTGGTCTGCATGTGGCTGAGCAGACCCGATTCAGGGTTTTAACCTTCCGATGGCAGGGTCGGACCACTTTTTGGCGCCATTCGACTTGGTTAAGAATGGCCTCATAGAGGTCTTTAAAGTAACGTTGTGTTGGCAGCCTGTGGTTGGAGACCCCATGATGAGACAAATCGGGTCGAAATGAGGAATTGTAATGAGCGGAACAAAGCGAAGAAACCTTGTTTCCGCTCGAACGGCAAAGAGCATTCATTAGTAAAATGCAAGTTAATGATATCGTACTTCTGAATATGGAAGTGCCTCTAACAATGCTCCTAGCAAACCTTGGTTGATTCACTCAGTTCAGACCCCCGTCTTACTAACTTACATTTTCCCAGGTTGCCTTAGTACACTTTACATCTTTGTCATAAAAATGTGAAAGCCATTTCAACTATGAGTTGATAAGTTATTACTTCAGGTCTGCTTGCAAATCTCGCCTTACTGATTGAGTTTAGAGATATGGGGCGAAACACCCAGTAGGTCTTCAAGCTCCAGATCCTCTAAACATTACTAGAATCACTACTGGAAGCGAAACCCTAACTGAATCAGAACCGAGCTCCTAACGAATTGAGGATGCGGGCTGTTACACTGATAAAGTGAAACAGTTTAGCTTGTTCGGTCTGAATCTGGAAATCTTAGGGGAACTGGAACAGACATATTAGTAAAGAATGCTCTTCGATGGTTAACAGATTTACCGTGATGTTTCGAACATTAATTACAGTGTCTGGTACGAATCGGGGCAAAAACCAGGCATTAACTTGCGGAATCAGACTCGAGTTAATAGGCTGAACAGCAAGTTAACTAGATAACTTTTGCCACCGTGGGCGATCAAACAGTTAAGCACATACTAGATAATATGCTTCTCATGAGCTATTTGAGTATGCAGCTGCCGTATTTCCAAGGCATTTTAGAAAATTGCTCCTTTTAATTTAATTAAACTTGAGCTGATGTACGGTCATTAGAGGCCTTCGCAGGCAGGTTGCAAGATGCACTTCGGAAAGGGAAAAGCTGAAGAGGGTCACTCGAGATACTACATATTCAGGAACGGTTGCATCAGATTCCGAAAGCGGGACCATGGTAGGCTCAGGAACATTAAGTGATGGAATCTCTGATGATACCAATCAGAATTAAGCACGCTTTTCACTTCTTTGAGCTAGAGGAACTGGTACTAGACCTGTTTGGGAGGGTATTAAGTACTGAAACTACGTTAACTGGCCTTGGAAATTCATTGTATAGGCTAGAGGAGCATTCAAATGTTACGAGGATCCCAAATGAAAGTGGATTGCTTATTCGGGTCCCCAATAGAGATTTGTTGCATTCAGCGTAATGCCGTAATGTGGATGTTACCATTTCTTCTTCAGTCTGATATCATAAATTATTCAAGGTATATCCTCTGAACAAAAAAACTGAGTTAAATTTTAATATACGCAAAATACCCACTAATACGGCTTAATACACTTAAAATGCTATATAAATTACAAAAATATGAAATAAATAGAAATTACAATTTTTTTTATTAAACTTTAGATGAACATCCGTTTTGTGCTCTGCTGATCGTCAGTGGCGGGAAGCAGCAATCACCGTGACGATATTTTGCCTCTTCTGTGGAGCCAATCTGACAAATCGCAGGTATGTTCTTCGGATACTTCTGAAAAAAAAGAGAGTTCACCAATTCTGTTTCCTCCTGAATCAGCTTCACTCTTTGAAAGATTCTTTTTACGGCTCAGAGCATCAGATTCCCATTTCATTTAATTTTAATGTGAAAATTTCACTCTACGTACGAGTTCCCACAAACCTCGGCAAGATGGTAGCTTCATGCAGCTTACGTCTTGGCTCTCATGAGGTTTCTGGGGTTGTTTGATCGGATACCTACAAATTGTACTTACCCATTTTAAGCTCCAAAGAAGGCGGAACCGCAGAAACCTTAGCCACTAAAATTCCAACAAAAAAAAAACTCGTGAGAGTTCAAGATATAAACTACATCAAGCAAAACTCGAATTTTAAGTGAATTCAAAGTGGAAATTCGACTCACTTTGAAAAAGCCAAGTACAATATCGGATTCAAGCCACAATACAAGATCCAGTAGATTTCGATTCCGACGTAAGCCCATTCCGTGTTCGGTATTATCGAATCGGAATAATGATAAACAAATATCAAAGTTGCAAGAACACCAAATAATAGGGTTGCATGTATCAGAAGTTGCCGTTCATTTTGCCGAACATTTCTTCTATTGGATAACTTAATGTAGTGAATGATAAATCATTGTAATTAAAAAAAGGTCAATCTTCCTCTCAGAAAACTTGCTGCATTTTTCTACCGAAAATCTATCGTTTCAAGGGAGTACTGCAGCATGCATTAGGTTCATGTGCTGGGCAGATTTGGAAATTTTTATTTTACCTTGCAAATTGTGATAACCATAGCTATATGGACAAGGAATGTTAGCGACATACAAAACATTGAAACTACAAAATCCACTTGAGATAAAATTTTGTTCATTATACCGTTTTCATAAGGCGAATTCCAAACAAACCTGAAAATCGTCGAATTGCACTTGGATCGTTCAAACTGCTGAAGCAGCTTGCAAAGAAAAATC